TTATGTGTAGGAGCTTCCAAATTAAGACATGGCAAAGCTTTTAATTTGATTTGGTGACTTTTAATTGTTTGAGATTTGAAAACTCTGTTTAGGGCTGACCATGCCCCTTTGAAATGTGAGGCAGCCTTCAGTACATAAGCCCTATCATAGTCTTGGGGACCAGTCCCAGGAGGCCAGTGGGCTGTGTGTATTAACAGCAGTTCCCAAAAGGCACTGAGTAGTTCATGTGACAGGGAATAATGAAACAAGGATTGCACTAAAACTGCCAAATTGCCTCAAGCTTCCTGTCCATGGGCATGGATTTCTGCAGAGCACGTAATTCCTCTCTCAAAGGCAGTGTATTTAAATGTTGCTTGTGGATATCGAAAAGGCAAGTCTCTTGAAAATATTATTTTAATCATTGTATAATGTAGTAAAATTTGAATATTTGCACCTGATATTAGGACAAGCAGAGGAGAATATAGCAGCTCTGTGAGAATCATAAAAGAATAAGTAAATGCAGGACCAGCAGAACATCTTTGCGTGCACTTTGTCCTATTTGATGATATCTTGAAAATGTGATTCACCTTTTTTCTCTATAATGTGTGTTATACGGAATTGTCGATATGTTGGTTGCTACTTCATTCACTCTTAGTGGTCTTCATCTTCCCTTAACACTTAAAAAACATATCAAATGGATACTCACAATGCTTCAATAAGAGTACTGCAGTCTGTAATAATCTCAGCTGCCTGTATTTTGACCTTTTTTTTCCAGAAAGTGATTAATTTTTAGTCAATACCATGAAAATCATTAACTTTATCAGAAAAACGTCAAGTTTTCCTTTCCACGTGTATCTTCAAAGCAGCAGTGGGTGTCCAAGCCCTGCTGTCTGCCAGGCACATTGCCCAAACTATAAAATAATTAGATTCATTTGTAGCCAGTCAGGACTGAAGCAAAAAGTAATGAGGTCTACTAGCGTAATGATAGTTGAGGAAGATGAAAACATTAAACTGGAAAAAGACATAATAGATCCTTAGAAACAAAATGTAAAAGTCTAGATTAAAACCTAGCTTAATTTGTTTCTATTAATTTCATGAGATACTGTAAAATGGGCAATAAAATGATAGGAATATGAAAGTTCACATTTGGATACTTAGTTAAAGAAATGCAAGTTCCATTACGTTGCTTCTTACACTGTATTATGTTATGTGATCTGGACACTCAAGATTAAAGTACTGAGCTACTAATTATTAAGTTATCATAGCAGTAAGTAAATTTTATGCTCCATAAGAACCTTCAGTAGATGTTAGTGAGGCCAGAATTCAATTATTTCAGTATTACATTTGTCCTGGTAATTTTCACATAGATTTGAGAATGTAAGTATGTTGCTTATTCATATACTGAAATCTATATGTAGAATGAAAAAAAAAATGATTAATTTATACTTAATGCCTTTAGATTAGATTGCTAAAGCAAAACATTGATTAGAATAAAATCTGAACATTCCAAAATATAGTATTGTCAAATGACTATAAAACAAGTTGCAGAATTTCTGAAATAGAGAAGGCAAAATGATGAAAGTTTAAATATACCTATTTGTTTGTATTGCTGTCAGACATTGAAAAGAGAGATCATTTCTCCGTGCCAGGTTCAGTAGTAGTGTAGATTCTCAATGTCCGGAGAAATCAAGATTCAGACATGCTTATACCATCTACAGTGTATGTTTGCAGATTCTGAAGTGTAGGAGGCAATGTTTACTCTATTTTATGCTAGGGATTAATTTATTGTATCCAGATTGATTCCAGATGATGACTGCAGTAATTTTCCAAAATTTATTATATGGTTTAGTCTTCTAATTCTCTACCAAATTATAATCAGATATTAGAGCAAGACTGAGAAATGGAGAGAAAGAATATATGTTTGACTCCAAATATTGATTATTTAGCTGCCTTGCTATCATCCCTAGATTGTTCAGAATCCTTCAGTCCTCCTAAAGATAAACATTGAGGATCATCACATTTGCAGACAACAGCCTTTTCAAAATTGGGCTTTGTTATGCCAATAGGATTTTATACATCTGTTTTTATTTTTAGGTATATAAAAAGCTCAAAATTCATTCCAGATGATATATAGCAATCTTGTCTTTTATTTCCCCTAGGTAAGAACATCCAACCTATCTTAACCATAAATACAGTTTCTATTATTTATTTCTTCCCACATCTGCAAGCCAGGTATGACTGTGATCCTTTTAGTATTTTGGCAGGTGCGTAATTTTTAAGTATGTAAGTATATCTGTGTACCCCATTGGGGTATATGTGTGTATATATATATCTTTTTCTCCCCAGGACTAGTTCCAACTACCACAAGGTAGCTAGATAGTTCTAAAATCATTTTATGTAAGTGCTGGCTTTTATATATGAAAAGTAGGATTAGTGTGTAGTTCTTGGGCATCTGTATGGTGGCTAAGACAAAGATAAACTGGAATAATGTTACTATTATTTTGAGTTGGAGGAGAGTTGAAGTGGATGAAAAAAAAGAAAAAGGATGATTAGTTCACTGTAGATACTCTTCTGTTGGACATAAAATAATTATGCTATTCAAAAACCTGGAAAGACCTATAGGAAGAGAGGCATGAGAAAGGTTTATCTGCAGTGCTCTGCTTTGGGAGGGAAGAACTACTAAATGAAAATGGACCTTCACTTTCCACCATTCAGTGATGCCTGTGCTGCTAATGCCCAGGGAAAGAGATTGATGAAGTATTGATGGCTAAAAACCAGTAGAACAATCTCAGATATTATCTTAAATAAGCTCCAGTCTTGCAGTTTTAACTTTTGAAATATTTCCTTAAATTCCTACAAACCTATGGTAAATTGCACCAAATTGAATAGGATCAGAATTTCCCACATTTTATGATATTGAGATAAATTTGTTCATGAATATAAGCAAGCATAGCTATTGACTTCAGTGGACTCATGTCAGATTATTAGACCTCTGAATTTGGCCCATTTGCCTTTGGAGCCTAAAGTAAATGTTTTGTGAATGACAGTGTTGCAAGAAAGATGCATTTTGACAGGAATGAGAATAATGAACAGGCAGCTGGAAATACCTGGGCATGTTATGCTTCTTGGCAGACTTCACAAGCAGTAGAACTGCTGACTTCAGAGTTGCCTGTGGGTCTGTCACTTTGTTCGTCTCTGTCAGGGTTGATTTTTCAGAACTACTTTGTCTCCAAGGTGTCATTTCCCTGATGGCTTACCTTAGCTTGTAAGGAATTTACATGTTATCATCTGCTTTAAATATGTCTTAAATTCCCAAGAAAACTCTGGAGCTGTTTCTTTATTATAAAAAGTAATAGGAAAGAGATGGTTGCTTGTCATCCCGTTACTTGTTTAGGAACAACTTTTGATAGCGTATCTTTATGATATGTTTCTGTAATTCACTGGACTTACTGTTTTTGAGAAAAAAATAATTTAGAAAGACCCATGAAATTACTTTACAAAGTGAAGCTGCTAATTTATTGAATATTAGTTTCCCTCATACTGTTAGTCACATTGTGAAATTTAATCTAATACTGCATTGAGAAAGAGGAACACAAACAATGTTTTAAAAATTGCAGTGGTTGAGAGAGAGCAATAGTACACTGTCACAGCAGATATTCATAAAATTTCAAACACCTACATTGATCAGACAATAAAAAATGGAATGAAAGAATGCACCGTTTGATTTCAAACATGTCAAGCTAGTACAGTCTACTAACTTTGAAACCTGACCACAAATTTGCATCAACCACTTTTTCTGTTTAATTTCCAGCTGTGGGAGCCACAGGAATGGGCTGCAGGCATGGGAATGCTGCTGCTGTCACTTCAACAGGGAGTTTCCCTGTTCCTGACTTCCACTCCCCAAAGGCAAAATGGTCTGGCCTGTAAAACAGTGGCTTCTTTCTTGCAGAAGACAGCAGGAAGAAATACAGGAATTATTTTTTTTCTGAAAAATTCCCCTTAAAAATAGATGTTCAGTGCTTTGCTTCCTCTCTCACTTGTTAGGTCTCTCACTTTAAAAAATGTGTTCATCCTTATTTCTTAAAAACTTGCTGCTTTCATTTAATCAGAATAAAACTGTGTATTCTGTGGGTCATAATTTGGTAGATAACTCAGGTCCAAATGTTTTCAATAGTTTGTTTGGAGAAGTTAAGTCTCAAGAGTTAATAAAAATTAAAGCCCATGCGAGCCTTCCATAGATCTATGCCAAACTTATGTTTGGGGAGTTTTAAAAAAAAAAAAACACAAACCAGAGCAGCAGCAGTCTTAATACCAGTAAAGGCCATTTCATGGGAAAAGATGACCTGTCTCAAAAAACAAACCCTGCCCTGTTGTTCTTTCTCTGTTAGAGCGTTGTTGCCTGCAAGAGAAATATGGTCTTATATCCATCCAGCAAATATTTGAGCATAAAATTAAAAAGTCTCATTTTAAGTGAAATGAACAGAGATCAGTGAATTCTGCTTGATTAAGCATGTGTTGAAGAAAAGCCTTGTAGTGCTCCACATATGAGAACTTCTAAGGATTCTCTACTGTTGTGGTACTGCCAGGAAGCACAACCAGGGAAGGCTGAATAGTACAGAACATCCAACTACCCTGTGAAAGTGAGCAAGCTAAATTAAGCAGTCACATAATTTTAAAGTTAACAATTAACAGTTGAACACAGTCTCTCATCCATAGTGTGAAGGAAGGTGAGTTGTGTCACTTGTTTGATCACAGCTTATTGTGTGCTACATTGTGTAAAAAGGTGAAAATAGGCGTGATGAGGGTTTTAATCTGTTCAGGTGAACTTTTCCAAAGTGAGGTGGGGCTTCCCTGAAATTAGTTTCTGAGTGTTACTGACCGTGCTCAGCTGGCAAAGCTTCTGCAGCTCAGTGCAAGCAGCTGGGGAGTTTGCAGAGGACCTGGGAAATTCTTATAAGAGGCAAGTAGCAGCCATATAGATACCTATGAAGGAATGAGGAAAGTGTCCTTACAGTTTAAAAATGAATGCTGAGTTTGTAACAATCCAAGAATTAAAACCTGCTGGACCTTGGAGCAGGATTTGGCTGTACAGGCACCAAAGGTAAGTAGGAGATTGTTTACAAAATGTTGTATTTGAACTTATCTCTTTTGACAGATTTGCATTTCATCTATTTGAAAAGCTACCTTGTTCCAGTTTAGGTTCTACTAAAACCTAGCTTAGAAATTGAAAACCTCTAACTGCTTTTGAAGTGCTAATTCTATGGAAAATTTGCAGACAGTTCTGCCTTAAAAGTCCTGGCTTGCTTACTGCCCTGTCACACATGGTTATAAAAGTAGTATTCTCTATGGAAAATCACAGAATGGCAGGGGTTGGAAGTGACTTCTGGAGAACATCTAGTCTAAAGCAGGTTCACCTAGAGCAGGTTGGACAGGATTGTGTCCAGGTGGGTTTTGAATATCTCCAGAGAAGGAGACTCCACAGCCTCTCTGGGCAGCCTGTTCTAGTGCCCTGTCACCCTCAAAGTTTTTCCTTGTGTTCAGATGGAACTTCCTGTGTTCCAGTTCATGCTCATTGCCCCTTATCCTGTCACTGGGCACCACTGAAAAGAGTCTGGCCCCATTGTCTTGACACCTGCCCTTTAGATATTTATAAGCATTGATAAAATTCCTTCTCAATTTTCTCTTATCCAGGCTAAACAGACCCAGGTCTCTTGGCCTTGCCTCATAACAGAGGTACTTCAGTCCTCTAGTCATCTTTGTAGCCCTCTGCTGGACTCTCTCCAGTAGTTGCTTGTCATTTATTGAGCTGGGGAGCCCACAACTGGACCCAGTACTCCAGATGCAGCCTTGCTAGGGCAGAGTAGAGGGGGAGGATGACCTTCCTTGACCTGCTGGCCACACTATTTTTAATGTACCTGGGGATACCATTGGCCTTCTTGGCCACAAAGGCACATTGCTGCCTCATGGTCAACTTGTTGTCCATCAGGACTCACAGGTCCTTCTCTGCATAGCTGCTTTCCAGCAGGTCAGCCCCTAACCTGTACCAGTGCATGAGGTTATTTGTCCTGAGGTTCAGGACCCTACAATTGCCTTTGCTAAACTTCATTAGGTTCCTCTCTACCCAACTCTCCAGCCTGTCCAGGTCCCGCTGAAAGGCAGCACAGCCTTCTGGTGTGTCAGCCACTCCACCCAGTCTTCTATCATCAGCTGATAGTACACTTGCTGATGGTACGTACTGTCTCTTCACCCAGGTCACTGATGAACATCTTGAACAAGACTGGACCCAGTACTGACCCCTGGGGAAACACTGCTAGTTATGGGTCTCCAACTAGACTCTGTGCTGCTGATTACAATGCTCTGAGCTCTGCCATTTGGCCAGTTCTCAATCCACCTCACTGTCCACTCATCTAATCCACACTTCCAAAGCTTACCTATGAGGATGTTGTGGAAGACAGTGTCAAAGGCCTTGCTGAAGTCAAAGTAGACGATGTCCACTGCTCTCCCCTCATTCACCCAGCTAGTCATGTCTTCATAGAAGGCTATCAGGTTGATCAAGCATGATTTCCTCTTGGTGAATCCATGTTGACCATTCTTGGTAACCTTCTTTTCCTCTACATACTTAGAGATGACATCCAGGATGAACTGTTCCATTGCCTTTCCAGGGATGGAGATGAGGTGAGACTAGCCTGTAGTTTCCTGGGTCTTCCTTCTTGCCCTTTTTGAAGACTGGAGTGGCATTGGCTTTCCTCCAGTCCTCAGGAACCTCTCATGTTCTCCATGACCTTTCAAAGGTGGTGGACGGTAGCTTAGCAATAACATCTGCCAGCTCCCTCAGCACTTGTGCATGCATCCCATTAGGGCCCATGGATTTGTGGGTGTTGAGTTTGCCTAAATGATCTCTAACCTGATCTTACTCAACCAAGGGAAAGTCTTCCTTTCTCCAGACTTTCTCTTAATTCCAGGGTCTGGGATTCCTGGGGGACGCCCTTAGCAGTAAAGACTGAAGCAAAGAAGGCATTCAGTAACTCTGCCTTCTCTGCATCCACCTCTCACCAGGGCACTTGACACATTCAGCAGCAGGCCCACATTTTCCCTGGTCTTCCTTTTGCTAATGATGCATTTGACGAAGCCCTTCTTGTTGTCCTTGACATCCCTTTCCAGATTTAATTCCACGTGGGCCTTAGCATTCCTAGTTGCATCTCTGTGTAATCTGACGATGTACCTATAGTCCTCCCTAGTGGCCCATGGGCCTTAGCATTCCTAATTGCATCTCTGTGTAATCTGAGGATGTACCTATAGTCCTCCCTAGTGGCCAGTCCCTTTTTCCACAGGCTTCCAAATATGTTGATTCTTGTGGTAAAGATAAGCTGGGACTGTCTCTTTGCCTGCTCATTAGCATATAGCTGTTTATATCCCTATGATGAATTATGGAGTCATGTGATAAACTTCACTTACTGTGTGTCTTTGATTTCACCTGCACTTGCCTCTTCAGTGAGCCTCCCACAACATGCCTGTAACATTGCAAACCTTTAAGCAGTCTCTGCCAGCTGACTTTTTCTGTCTTCAAATTAAGTGCTATAAAAATGTACCTTTCCCACCTTCCCTGCACCAGCTATGGAGTTGCATCTCACAGTATGCTAATCTGAAGCCCAGAAGGTCAATAGCCTGTTTTTGACCGATGTTGAATTGCTTTGAGACACTCTGTTAGAGCAAGAAACAAGCCGTGAGAGCTAGAACTAGGAGATGGGCATCATTAAAAAGGGGAAATTACACTCAGTTAATGAGTCCTGAGATGCCAGAACTTAAAGCCTAGCATTCCTATGCAAAATAAACCAGATTTGGTTGCTTTTAAAAGCAATCAATAAATACAACTTCTCAGTTATACTATTTCTCCCTTTCCAAAGTCTGTAAAATGAGACTCATCAGACTAAGGCAGTCTGCTTTGCAATCACAGGAATTCTAAAATATAGCTCAATTCAAAAATTGAGGAAAACACCTAAAAATGCCATATACTCGTTCTAAAGGAATATATATATCTGTGTGGCTTACCATGGAGCATTCATCACTCATCATTGGGCCATAACTCTTGTAATTTGGCTGTAAGTCCTGCTGTGGTGAATCATATAGACTTAAATTCCTTTCCACTTGGTGTATCTAGCTATATTCTGCATAGTAAGTATTCAGAAATTGGTGGTAAAGAAGATAGCTGATGACAAGCCTGAGTTCTCAAACACAAATATATCTGTAAGAGAATTGTAATTCTGACCATACAGAGCATAATATCATCCTCATACCAGTTTTACATGGTTGATTAAATAGACTTGGGTCCATATAAATCATCAATAAGTGATATCAGAAGCACATGATTTGGTGCTCATTGACTGAGGATTCATTTTCTCATTATAAATCTAAGAAAATCAATGTATCATATATGTTCATATCATGTTCCATATATCCTTATCAGGATAGGTTATTATAACCATACTATGAGATTTTGTGTTCCTTGCCAATATGTTACTAGGAGTCCTTTGCCTGTTGTTTTTTGACAGGTGCAAAAATGGATCCTTTGGTATTGTGTTATTCAACAACAGTCCTATGAGGTAAGTGAATGCCATATACTTATACTTCATCTTTTCAGTTGCTTTTTCTTAAAACTTACTGATTTTGTAATTCCTCTAAATCATTGCCATTTTACATTGGTTAGGGTAGTGGCAAGAGGCAGACAAACTCTTTTCATAATTTTCTATCACTTCAATTCTACTTTTTCACAAGGAGAAAACTAACAAAAATAATAATGATATATCAAGTTTATCACTCCTTTTTCCAAAATTGTGAAGAAACAAAAGATTTGGTTTGAAAATAGAACTTGTTCCTCAGCTCTCTTCTATTTTTGGTAGTGCTGGTTTTTACTATTTCTTGCTTGAAAATGGTTTGTGGTAGAAGAAGGGAAAAGGAAACAGAAAAATACCTAAATATTATTTAGGCAAAGATACTATTTCTGTTCCAAAAGGTTTTCAGTGCAGAACATCCATTTAGACTTACTAGTATCATTTCCCCCTTTTCTAGTGTTCTTCAGTTACTAGCACTGTTAAATGAGCGTTTTTAATTTATCTGTAAAATGATGGAAGAAAAATGAGTTCAAGACACAAGTTAAAAATTAAATTAAAAACTATTCCTAGAAAATGGTCTCATTCAGAATTAAACTGTGTGCATAACTCTGTGTTGTAGAAGGAAAGAGAGTTAAATTACACCTAATTATTAAGACTAAATCTGAAGACACTTGTCTAATCAGCCTTTTGATACGATGTTGGCAATGTGACTTTTAAATTTAATTTGGATTGTTCTCCCAAGTGACCCTGTAAAGATTGACTTAAATGTAGTCCTTAATAACTAGTTTATTCCTGTTACTTGGGCTGTATAGAAAACTGACATTCTCTGTGACCAAACCATAGTAGACTCTGCAAAGAAAAATTTCATGTTTGAAAACAGCTAAAATAGAGGTGTTAATAATCCTATATGATATGAGATTGGTAAATAACTTGCACCATTAGGAAAATCATTTCACAGTAACAAATGTACGATTTGGTGATGTTAGCTGGTAGTATGAACAAGCAGCAAAGGAATTATTATCACAACATTGTTTATCTCTGTAGTGTCGTAATACCAGAGGAGAGGTAAGCAAATGCTTGCTGTAGCAGTAGTACCCTGTTATAGTTATGCATGAAAATATACCAGATAACTAAACCAGGGATACTTTCAAAGTATTTTAGAACTTTACGTCTTTGCTGTCATGTTTGTGGGAGAGAAAGGGGTGGGGAATGCTGAGAAGAGATTTGAAATGTATAGATGAAGTGAAACCATTGCAAACCATATAGCCTTCAGTTGATGTTCTGAATATTTTTCTAAGCTGGGATAGTAGTCTTCATTTGAGTTATTCCCTACAGGCCTTTACAGTAATATGATAAAGGAAAAAAATAGTAGATTCTTGCCTTGTTCAGTAGTGGTGAAAGCAAGTAAGACTGGGTGGTGGCGTTCACCAGGCTTTCATTCAAAGCAGTGAAGTGAGGGTTCTAAACTTGCATTTCAGTAAAATGCCAAATAACCTAATTTATAAATGGATAAAATCAAGATTGTGGCTTGTTGGAAAATGTGCCTAACAAACTGGACAAATTATTTATTCCCTCTTCTAAATCTTAACTAGATCTCCTTGTCAGGGCTGAAAAATATTTCAGCCACCATGTTGCATGTAAATTGAGTCAGGATTTGCACCCCTTTGACTTCTTGCCTGGTCCTTCTGTTCACCTGTGCAGGATTTGAAGACTGACTCACACTGTGATTCTCTAGAAAGCAGAGTACATATCTCCCTTGGTAGAGTGTAAAATACAAGTCACCATTGTGTCTGTCAATACAAATAAAATTCCTTTTATTTGCTGTCAAGCAGGCATCCATCTAACTGTATTCTTAAACCCCAGTTACAGTTGTCCCTAGGTAAAGCTTCCCAGCCCTTGGTATGGTGGAGGACAGGAAGTCATGGCTCATTTAAAAGCATTTTAAATAGAACAGATACAGCTTGCTGTTTTCCATCTTTCTTCTGTTCCCGAGCAATATAAGACTGCATTAGCTGAATGTCTCAACCCTTGTGCTGTTTCATCTCCAAGACAGTGATTTCACAAATGTTTTTTTGTGGAACTCGCTGGCTGAAATTTGAGTGTACAAAGGATTGTTTCTATAACCTTTCCTCACGCTGACTTGTACTTCCATGTTCAACTAGTTATATTTATGCCCAGGATGGGTATATATTTAAGTTGGAAATTGACTTAAAATAATAGTAGTGACCTGAATTGGGAAGCTTGGGTTGTATAAAGTAGTGTAGTCCATGAAAGAAGATTAAAATGGCAGTGGGAGAAGGAAAATGTTGGTAACTAAAATACGTAATTAAGAATTGGTGATAGAAAGTATGACCCATTTACCAACAAGAAAGAAGGAAAACCCATGAAAAGCCTTAGAATGGGGTAGACCAGCCATTCTGTGCTGTTGGGTAGATCTGTATTCTGAATAACTATAAATGTATTTTTTATGGCACAATTGTTTTTTAGATATGTTTAAATGGAAGGCTTTGGCTTATTTTAGATTTTTAATGTAAGATAATACACAGACAGCCACACCATACTGTATTGTTTTGTTCACATATCTTATACACATCTGGAAGTCCTGGTAAACACACTATCAAACCCACACATAGCTGATTCATTTAAGGATTTGTTGCTGGGCTAAACATAGGGTCTCCAGCTTCTGAAACAAAAGCTCTCTTATGAAGCAAAAGAAATGGCTGCCTGAGCTCAAGCCAGCTGAGTTTGTTATATTCAGTCCAGACTGCTTTACAACCAATAATTCTTCCAGTTTATATACAGTACCCTGCTATTTCCAGAGGGATGGTTTTGTTTGAATATCCATTCACCTAGGATACAACTTTAACTTAAAGTTGCTGGTGCCAAGTATGGCAAGTTGATCTTATACCACTTTGATATCTCACTTTACAAAGCCAAAACAAGCATTGCCAGCTCTACAATTGTGGCTCACCAGACTTGCCATTAAATGCAGCATTTTAAAACTTACTGTGGCATATCAAAGCAATGTGATCATTGAGATGCAGAAGACCAAAATTACAGTACCAGAATCATATCATTATATATCGTTTCCAGCATTTTCTTTACACTGTCATGAAACATAAAATGGATGCTACAAAACATAGATTAACCAAGAAAAACATTAAAACTTTAGGAAAGTATTCCTGAACTTGAAGCTAAGAAATTTGTAAAACCTTGAGGAAACTTTGTTTCATATATATTTTAACTTTTTTCTTTAAAATGCTAATTCCTATTTGTGGAATGGGAATGAAGCAAGGTTAATCTATATCGAATATATTTAATGCCTGGCATGAAAGTAAAGCAACTTTACATGAGTTGTAACTAGGATAAGTGACTACTGATTCAATGTATTATTCTAGCTGAGGAGGTGGAAGCAGTTAACGCTTCAGTGCTAGCAGAAGGGCTTAGATACTCTCCACACTGGTATGTGTTTTTCTTAATCATACAATGGGGCCATTTCCCACTCCTCCTCCCTTTTTATGTATTTTTGATACAGCTCTATCCCACAGAAGTGTAATGTGGGAGACAGCTATCCACATAGACTCCAACATAGCAGCTTTTCTCTTGTTGCAGGAGTGAAATGAGATGCAGTGTGGTTTTCGCAGACTGCATTTCAAGCTGGTGTCACATGAGGGGAACTGGTGTGTGGAAACGTGAGGGGGCAAAATCTCCTTCATCTCCCCTCACTGGCTGTGCTACAAAAGGATCTAATTGTCACAGTTGCATCAAATCTGGGACAACAATCAACAACAGCAGAGTAGTCCTTCCATTTTTGGAGAGAATTGCTTCCTCCAGCTGCTATAGGCATCTCATTAGTAGTTTGAGGTGTGAAGAAGTGTTGGCATTTAGGTTTGTACAGTTTAAAATAATTTATAAAGTGCCTTTATTCTTTACAATCAAATCCTTTGCTCAAAGTACAGCAGGTTCAAAAAGCAAGCTGAATGTTTGAATGCATAGGGCTCAGGATAATATAGGAATAAAGCCACAGGATTACAAGAAGGGACTTACCAAAGTCTACTCCTCTGGTATTTCAGGCAACCCTTAAAATACAGTCTCTTTTGTGAATTTATCAAGCCTCATCTGAGTTCAGTTTTTTCTGTAATAGTAAGATTGTTCTAGAAGTCCATCCTCAGATTTTTTTTTTTACATTAAACTTCTTAACTACATTTATTCATAGTTAACTTATACCTATTTTTTTTTTTTACACAAAGGCATGATTACTCTTCTTGCCTCTAGCCACTAATTCACCTGGTTTGTTGGTAGAAAGTTGTTATCTTCTGTTATCAGCTTTGGTAGACTGAATCGGGTTGTATTTTTAGTCACTTCTTGTAAAAGTTCTAATTTTCTGTGATACTTCTTTAATTCCATTTAATTTTGAATGCATCTTTTAAAAAAGTGCTTATGGTCTTTAGGTGACAGCCTTTTATTTGTAATACTTATGCCTTATAGGTAGTTTGATAACATACACTGTGGGTTTTTTCTTATTTTTGTGTGTTATTTTTGTTATGAAACATCCTTCAGAATGCGCTAAAATATTCACAGCCTACTGTAGTGTCTATTTTCAAAGGAAGTGAATTGTCTTTATCCAAATTTCCTGGTGCAATGCAAGTCTTGGATACTTTTGCTGCCCTCAGCAGTCTTTTTGTGGGTTGACAAGGTACACCAGAGTTCAGTTTGGTCCATGTATCTTATTCTTAACCTTTCAGGTATGAAGGAGGAAACTATGCAACAGGTTCCTGAAATATGTATTATTCCATATTTACTAAGATCTGCACTCAATTTGCACTATACTTTACAAATATGTAGATGATAAAAGTCTAGTCCCATTGGGTTTATACTGTGGTTTCATTAAAATGGAAAAATTAATTAAAATGTGAAGAAAAAAATAGGAAAACTTGAACCAAGCTTCCAAAAGATCCACATGTCTCTGGACATAATAAACTAGAGCTGAA